TTTTTTAGAGTGCGAAACTTGGAAAAACATTGGGAAATCTAAATTATTAGGCCAAGACCACTTGGAACCATTTAAGGCGCTATCCGCTAGACCACCACAAAGTAATAAATATAATGCGCCTACCTTTAGGCACTTTAGTCCGGATTCGGCGGTTTTATTAATTTTTAAAACCACAGAATGTTAAATTTACAACAGCAAAGCACTAATAAAATTAATAAAATAGATAATTAAAATTGTATTCGCAGCAGAATACTCCTATTTTACGTGACATAATACTGACTATGGAATTCGCTGCAAAACGGACCAAAAAAAATAATAATAGATCTGAGCAATCCCCATAAAGAATACAAGAACCCTTTGATTCCCAATGTAATTGATAATTTTATACAGAAAACAGTCTGCCATAGAAAACTGCGAGTTAATGTTCAAAATCTGACTTTAAATTAGTTTGATAAAAATAACATAAAATAATTCAAAACCCAATCCAAAAACTACCTCGTCGTTTCTCACCGCTGAAATATTAAATGTAACAAGTCAATAATATTGCGACAAAAAGCGAAAGTAAAAAAGTGCGAAAGTTCAGTTGCGTTTCGAAAAACTAAACTGAGTTCAAACTGGAAGATTCATACAGGGTGTATCGTAAGCTCATGATCAAAAGAGTACTGCTATATTCTTTGGACCAAAAGAAGACGATCTGACCTAAGTTTTATTAACAAAAAATGTCTGGCTCCTCTGCTATTGATGGTCAAAGTTCTGCAAAAAATTTTTTTTTTAAATATCGGAATAATGGTACGATGTATTTTAGTGAAACTCGCTGTGAATTTGTTCTTATGTAAGACTCATATTTTGATGAAACCATCGAGTTCAGGCGTTTTGGACACGTGATGAATTATTGAGTGTCGTGGTACAAAAACTACTAGAACTGTTTAGTACACTAAGCATTTATTCACAATTTTGTGCTCTTTGTAAAATCGGTAAGTTCTTGTGAATAAAATATTTCTGTTTCCTTGCCACTTAACAATGTTAGACATTAACTGCAAATATCGTCATACGAGGCATCAAATCATTGTCAATCAATCTCACATATTTGTTTTGAATAACCTTTTCTATAGAAGAAGGGACCGACATGGTCAAAGTATTAGGGTTTTGCGAAGACAATTTGCGTGAAAGCGTACGCGTTTAGGCGACTCATATTTGCAGTAAATGTCTAGCATTGCTAAGTGACTAGAAAATAAACATATTTTGTACGCAAAAACTACGAATGCTACAAGATTTTACAAACAGCACAAAATGGTGAACAAATGACTAGTGTATCAACCTAAAGAAATGAGTTGATTTGATCCTCCAACGAAAAAGTTCTCGAGTCCAACGCCTGAACTCGATTGTTTCATCAAAATATAAGTCTTACATAAGAACAAATTCACAGCGAATTTCATTAAAATTCATTGTACCATTCTTCCGATATTTCGAGAAAGATAAATTTTTTGAAGAACTTTGACCATCATTAGCAGAGGAGCCAGATATTTTTTGTTAATAAAAGTTAGGTCAGATCGTCTTTTTTGGTCGAAAGAATATCGCAATACCCTTTTGATCATGAGCTTACAAGATACCCTGTAGATTCGAAATCATTCTTACCAGCTTTATGTAACCTGGCGCCCCATCCTCCATTGTCTATCCATGTATCCTCAAAAAACACTACACTTGCTCACGCAATGAAAATGAATTGCGAATTATAAACTTTCCTTAAGGGTTCAATGTTTCTAAATTTTGCATCTAAGAACGCGATTGACACGAACCAACGGCCTGGCGACTGATTTACTCCCTAGGAACCGAACTCCAAAACCAACATGATGATATAACCATTTACTTGTTCGCCCTCAGGATGAGTCATTGATTTCTTTGGTTGGCAGTTCGATTTAGTTAAAATCACTTCCTTGGAAAGGGAGTTTTTAAAACAATTCTTATTTCGATTGATATGGATTTCACCTTCAAGATACAACTGTTCGTTATTACAGGCTTGTGAGAATATATACTGAATTAATGCTGATGAGTTTACATGCTATCTGTGAAACTAAAGAACATTATGTACCTCGTAAGCATAATTAGATATTTCCTTATGCTTAGCTGCGAAATAGAATATCATGAATTTGTGAAGTTGGCTAAATGGGATATCATAACTATTTCCGTTTTTTTATTATTGACTGTTTTGTAGAAAGTGCCTGTACGCACGGCAATGTTCACCAAGACAAATTTCACGTTCCAACTCGTTTCGATAATGTAATCAAACCCGCATTCTCAGCAAACATAAGCAAATCCGGCGCATTCGAGTTTTTATACTAAATCAAATGCGAGCTATGGAAGCAACCATTTTATTCAATGTTTATGCGATTGTGGCCAATTTTAGCTTGATATTTTGTCTTTGGGCGTGCTAAATGACTCATATTTAATTTATGCGCCTTCTTTGCTCGCATCATTGTGAGCTACGGAGTATCTAACTTGATTTCGACACGTGCTCACCTCAGAGTCTTTTGGTTGATTTTCATGAAACGTTGGACTTTTATAGCTTAAGATCTAGTTAAGACAATGCCTAAATGGCAAATCCACATTCGGTCCTCCTCATGATTTGGGAATGTTTCTCTTTGTTGGCACTGCACTGCTGAGCCTCTGCAGATTGATATTTTGTCAAACGGCTGGCTAAATGAATGACCACATTTGGTGGCATCAGCAAGAGCGACGGAATACGACGGAATACAGCGATATTAATTTTATGATTCGCCTTTTTAAGCTCGATTTTCATGACAATTTCAACTTAAGATGTTGAATAAGGTGAGTATAATCCGCTGAAATGCCAGGTCCAGATTCAAGCCGTAGGCTGATTTGCAAAAGCTTCTTTTTGCTCGCAGCATTAAAATGACAAATATCTCGAAAACGGTGTTTTTTGGAAAACATCGCACACTGAAACGTGCCTAACAAAAAGCGATATTTTAAAACCCTAAAAATGTCTGCTGTTTTAAATAGCTTCAGACTATTGCAGCTAGCGGCCTCTGGGATCTACAAGCTAGAAATAGAAAATTTGGATTTGTCGAGCTCAAAAACTCCTTAACACAATTTTTTATAGTCATAGTAACAAAGTTTTTATTCACATTTTGACACCATGTACCATTTTGACACCATACACCCAGAAACGGAATATTTTTGCCAAAAGAATAGGTCAGTGAATTTTGGCGCATTAGTTGAGTATATTCACTATGCGTCTGGTGTAGCTCTTGAAGCCAAAGTTCATCCGCTAATTTGCTAATCCGCTGCGATAATATTAAGCGCGACGTTTCCCGTCATTGTAACAGCCCAGCGAATTGATGGATATTATAAGAGGCTGGTTTTCGTGATGAGCATACTAAGCAGCTTAGCATTTCCAGAGAGGTGACTAATGGGGCGCTGGAAAGTCAACATTTTACTAATGAGCCTGGATATTTTCCTATCCGGATTGTTGCCGTTGCGAGCAGCAGCTTCGCTCCTTCCACTTGCTTAGTTCCGGGTGATTTGCTATAATATCACTTCTACATATTTCACTTATTTCAATCTGAAAGTGTCGCGCCTAATCCTAAAATATTGAAGCGAATCGATTCGTCTGCCGAATCTCCCTTGAAATCGCTTCTTTGATTTCCCCCTTTATATCCCAATTTATTTTTCGCGCCGCCAACTTTCCATGTATTAAGCGAGCGTCGCATTCCTTCAGAACTGTGATGAAATGTCAGCAGAAATTTCAATAGAGCCGCGCTATTTTTGAAACGTGTTTCCAAACACTCCCACAGTTGGCTCAAAGCAACACACCCAATTACCCAACGTTTATTTGCCCAACGCATCAAGTGCATGTTTCGCGAAGAGGCACATTCAAATTACCGCCATTCCTTGTGGCCAAACAAAGACATCGCTTGTCCTCACCACCCCCACATCTAGACACTGCTTGACTTTGTTTTTATGTTGCCCATTGTTCCTGCTGCACTGTTGCTGACACCATGTGACAAAGAGCCCGGTCTGCTCACGTTGCTCCCCTTCTCTAAGGGCGCCCCCATAAAAACGGTATTTTTTCAACAAGGAGAATATCCCCGGAGTTAATTGAAGCAGCAAGCACAGCCGGTTTTTGATCGCGTTGTCTTAAATCACCAATCAACTGCTGGTTAAAGAAATTAAGTTTCACCGTGTCTTCGCTGTACCACCTCAAGGCTTTTCTTCCATTGTGCACGATTGTAACAGTCTGCAACCGCGAGGTTTCTCTCGTTCATAGCTTTGTTTATGGATTCGCCCTACGATCTCCTAGGTCTTCCTTTTCTCCTCCTTTCGGTAGACCATTACATACATACATGCATCCAAGGTGGGTCACTGACTGCACTATGCTCCTCCAGGCCTCCCGGTCCTCTAAAGATTCGTGTCCAGAGGGATATTTATTTTCGTGAGATCTGCTTTGATGTTGTGTTTCCATCTCTGCCGTGGTCTCCCAAGTGGCCTTTTTGCCGACGGTCTCTTCACATACCAGTCTCGTCAGTCTATCATCTCGTATTCTATGGACATGCCCGTACCGTCTTAGGCTCTGGAACTTAATTTCCTTGACAATATCCCGTACCCAATATATCTGATTAATCTCAGCGTTTGTCCTTTGCGATACTGGCTGCTAATAGGGCCTTGGTAGGGACCAAACATTTTTTTTTAATTTTCTATCTATATCTATGTCTATCTCCTTTACATCACAAACAACGACTCAATTAAAATAATTCCTGATGACTAAACGTTGTTTCCAAAATAACAACTACAATTTTTATAGGTTCCTGAACCTAACGCAGAACCGACAACGGAATGGTCCCAGACCTTAATAATAACCCTGTTCCGAGCGGGAAACTGAAAGATCGAGGCCTAATCTTATTGGCTATATCAATCGTTCAGTCTTCCGTTTACCCACCTGGAAAGACCACAATTGGACGTTAAGTATGTTGTTGCAGAGCCCACAATGGAGGCGGAAGAAGACGACAACGACCAGCGACCAGCCCTGAGATAGCCAGCCAACTTAGAGGCCATCATGCCCCACGCCGCCCTCCGCCTATGCCTCATAATGCTGTGCATGGCTCCGCCCACTTCTCCTACTGAGTGCCCGCGGACGTGCGAGTGCAAGTGGAAGAGTGGCAAAGAGTCGGTTGTTTGCTCCAACGCCAACTTCTCCACGGTTCCCCCGAATCTGGACAGTGGCACCCAGATTCTGGACCTGACGGAGAACCACATTGCCAACCTAAATAACCAGGAGTTTAGCAAGGCCGGACTGGTGAACCTGCAGAAAATCTTCCTAGTCAAGTGCCGACTCAAGGCGATTGAAAAGTACGCGTTTCAGAATCTCATCAACTTGGTAGAGCTAGACTTGAGCTCCAACCTTCTCAGCGCAGTGCCATCGTCCAGCTTCAGCTCTACCCCAGAGCTGAGGGAACTGAAACTGAGCTCCAACCCCATCTATGCCCTAACTGCCAAAGCTTTCAGTGCAGTGCCCCAATTGGTGAGGCTGGAAATGTCCGACTGCAAGATCAGCCGCATAGAAATCCAGGCCTTTCTAGGTCTGGAGGACTCTTTAGAATGGCTCAGGCTGGACAACAACAAGCTGTCCCAAGTGGACTCTCTGGCGTTCGTCGGTCTAGCAAATCTCCACGGCTTGGAGCTGGCAGGCAACCCTTGGAATTGCTCTTGCAGGCTGAGAGAGTTTAGGGAGTGGATGCTAGGGCAAAACGTTCCCTATGACATACCGCCCATTTGCCACAGCCCGCCCAGACTGCAGAAGAAATCGTGGAAGCTTCTCGACCTGGACGAGTTTGCCTGCCCCCCGAAGATCTACGCCACTGAGCTGAAAGCCAGAGGCGTAGAGGGCGACAATGTGACTCTTTCATGCAGCATCGAAGGCATTCCGCGGCCCCACGTGAAATGGGCGGTAAAAAACCGACCAATAAACAACACGAGCACTCAAGTCGCTGGCCTCAAACTGTTTATAACCAATGAGAAGCTCTCTTCAAGTGAACTGTTGATCCGAAGCGTAGAATCACAAGACGCAGGCAGTTACACGTGCGCAGCCGAAAACAAAGCGGGCAAAGCCGAGGCTGTAGTCCTTCTGACAATAGTCAAAAAATATTCAGAGATCAAGTTTTCCACCACAGTGTTGCTAGTGAGTGTTCTTCTGGGGGTGACGCTCACGTTTCTCTGTTGCCTCCTCACTGCATGTTTCGTAAGCTCGCGGAAAAAGCGGCTACTCAAATGGCACAACCCCGAGTGCAGGCGCGAGGACAATTACGAAAAAATCGAAATGAAGCCTAAGATAGGCCAGCGCAACCTCAATGGGGGCGTGGCTAGGGAGGATGGGGCGCTGGTGACGATTGCGCGAAAAAATGGACAGTACAGCGTCGTGCCAGGCACCGACACTGACCATGAGAACGACGAGGAAGAGGAGAGCACTTTGGAAATCACTTCACCTGGAACGTCCACCGAGAAGAAATGGGCCAATGAGGACGAGGCTTTGCCTGCATGCAAAAATCCTACACCCGCTTACGCCATAGGCCAGGACTCTAGGTAAAATTTGTCACCCTCAAAAAGAGCATGAAAAAATCCCATTGCATCCTCTGTATTTCTGGTTCCCTTGGATTTTCCTCGTTCTTTCGGCCAAGTAAAAGTCAGGATATTTTATTTAGTAGGTAAGAGAGGAAATGTTTTTACATTTGGTTCAGTTTTCCCTAGAATAAGGAATGGTTAATGCAGAAAAACCATCAGATTGGATTATTGCTGCTGCAAATTCTAGTCGTAAAGTGGCTTGTGCCAAATCGTTTAAACTTTTTCCACGGGAAATAGCGATTAAAGTTTTAGACATCACTTATGGGACATCAAGTATATCTACATTTCCTGGCCAAAATGAATATAAAACTTCGGATTTGGATGACAAAATGCAACATTGCCGCAGATGAACACCCTTGAAAGGCCTGGGTAACTCAGCGAGTTTTTAGGAGTTGACGCAGCTCTTGATGCGCCAACCCGAGGCACCGGCGTAGTAACTCAGTTCGGTTGCTAGAGAAACGTTTGGGCAAAGTTCTAAAACGTTACTCACAAAAAATATGCATTATCTTTTTGTTTCGATGCTAAAATTCCAGTTTTGGGACTTGAAAATCAGTCAATCCGCTTTCATAAATGACTTATAACTTTTTAACCGATGAGTTATAACTCATTAACTCAGATAGCGGCACCAATTCGAAGGAACAACTCAACACAGTGTTACCCAGGTCTAGTTAGAATGTCTAAAGCGTCCCTCAGGGCCGTAATCCAAAATGTAAAAAAGTTTATGCGCGTTTTTCCTTCTTATTCGTATAGAAAATGACACTGGCCTGGCAGATTGTTTCCAAATGCAACACTTAAGTATTTTATTGTTTTCTAGAGACAATATCAACAGGACCTGCAGTTCAACGTATGGTACATCTAAGGGGCTTTCAAGTGCCGCACCTACCACTCTGTCCAGTATCTGGAAAGGGCAGCCCATCTACACAACAACCAGCTCTATTCGGCCAGTTCCAGATGTGATTGGTCATTCATCGTTCAGTCAGACTGTGAGCAGTAGAACGCAAAGTGAGAACGGCAGTGCCAGTGATTTGAGTGAACTGTTTTGCACGTTGCCGAGAAAACGGGACCTGGGACGCTACAGAAGCAGCGACAGCCAAACGGCGCTGTTGCCTGAGAGTCGCTACGGCAGCGACAGCAGTGCGGACAGCTTCGCCCGTAGACTCTCCATCGAGATGCAGCGCTACCCCCCAATGGAAAAGCAGAAGCCTGCCGGTGGAAGTTTGCTGAATCTAGCCAGAGAAGAAAAAACTTTGACGCTGAGCTCGACCCCTTTGCTCGATGTTCGGGGGCTCGAGCATCGGCTATCGCCTCAGCTGCAGCCATCTACGGGCTCCAACCCGTACGACTACCACGCAGCTCAGCTGGAAAAGTTCCTGGAAGAGTATCGGATCCTGCAGAAGCAGCTGACTAGGATGAAGGAAACCTGCGACACCATCTGCCAGGAGCAGCTTCGAGAGCGCGTTTCGCCTAGCACAGTTGCCAATCTATCGGCAGGGCCGTCGCCCAACGCCAGCTCTATTCAGGATTCGGTAGACTTTAAGAACTTTGAAAACGAGCTGACGAAGTACTTGATGTCGCGCAGCCCATCGGCAGTGAAGGGGTTTGCATCTGGGGCCCTGCCCAATCAAAATCTGTAGATTCGGGGGGCAATTGATTAAAGTGAGGTTGGCCGGGCGAGGGATTTCTGGACAGCTGGTGCTTTCGGAAAAATGCGGAATTTTTGAGTTATATATGTAGAAAAGCTGGTTTGGTGGAAAGCGAAAAACCAACTCAAATGGAATTTGTGCTCATTAAACATGCGGAAACCCGGCTTGAATCGGGACAGAAATAGAGTAGGTTTTGTCACTTATTACGCAGCTTAAAGTTTCTGAAGTGCTACTCGAGTTCAGTGCAAAAGAGCACGTGCTTTCTAGCTTGGCATGATGTAATATTATATTTATTTCAACCACCATGGAGAACTATTTAACTGAGGAATATGAAAGACTATGTTTAGTGCTCGTTCACTATTAATTGCAGGCTGTAACTGAATTAATACCAGGCACTATTTCTCTGAGCATTCTGCGCTATTGGGCTTCAATTTGTAACCGACAAAATGTGTTACTGTGTACCCACCTAGTATTACTTTGCTGGAGTCAAGTGAATCAGGAAAAAGTGTTTCTTGACCACACGTTATTTTAAAAGTGCATAATCAATGGATTTTGGAAGTACTTATATGTTTGAAAACGCGTGGATCCTCGAAGCTGTCACGGAATCAACCGAAGTTAAGTTAGAATCAAATTGTGCCAAACGTAAAGACAATGCAGGCACAAACCTTATCAGTGGCACGTCTTAATTTTAAAAAATCTAATGCGCATGCGCATATTTCAATATAACAGCGGCACTATTAATCGCATAGCTGCAATCTGTGTCAATAGACGATCATTTGGACGATCAATAAGGGCAAGCAGTAATACAATTTCTGCTTATGAATATGATATACACTCCTGATCGGGGCTAATTGTGAAGCCAAATTTTTTAACTCAAAACACTCTAGTTATCTAAGGGAGCTCAGCTTGAGCAGGATCTAAATATTTTGAAAAATCGTAAAAGGGCTTTTGGCTTTTAGATTCAGTTTTGCGCTGAAAAGTCTTATAGAAAAAAGAGTTACGGCCGATTTAAATAAAACCGTTTATAATTTTGAACTTTCTTCAGCTTAAAAAATGCCAAATTTGGCATTACTTTTAAATATTTAACCATTCGAAAATTGGAGAGGTTTGTGTATAAATGAGGTTTCCAGATACTAAATCAGGTCGGCTAGTTTTTCCCCAATTCATTTTAGAAAGATGCAATAGAAAAAAAACATGATGCCCAAATAAGCTTTAAAATTTGTCTAATGTTGAATGTCTAGATTTCCCGTAATCAATTCTTGAAAATTAGATAGCAATTTCTATCGAGGAAAAACTTGTACTCTTCCCGCACAAGCATTGAAGTTGCGGCTCCATTAACCCAGAAATTATGTATTTGCCACAAAACGGCCTCGGTTTATGGTTCAGAATTTTAAACCCAAAATATTCTTCAGCTTAAAAGGAGCTATATTTTGTTTGTCACCGCTTTTAAATATGTAAACTTTTGAAAAATGAAAACGTTTTTCATATAAATTTAGGTTCCAAATATTGAATCAGCGCGGCTAGTTTTTCTGCAATTATGTTTTTTTAAATTCATTGCAATTTCTATGAAAGCTGAATTTACAGTGTCCGTCACCAATTTGAAAATGTCTCGACACTCGCATGGATTTGGTATTTAAATGGAATTTGCGGGTCGTTTAGCGGAAGATTTTCTCTTCAAACCGGTGGGGAAACCTTGCCTATTTGTCCTGTCATTAATTTTTGGAAACTTAACCCAGAAATAGGTTCAGGGGCAGGGCCTTGAGTTTTGCCAACTTGAAAACTCAAGGTTTTCAAGAAGGTAAAGACCTAAAAGGACGTTGATTTTTACCAACCATGAGTTTGTGTAAATTTTAAATCTGATGATGGCGCTGTTGCCTCGCCGAGACGTAATGAAATAAACGATGTTTCAAAATTTTTACTTCACACTTTGACTGAGACCCAGGAAAAATAAGATATCATAACATGTATACATAATGAAAGCCATCGCGCGAATGTTCAAAAACTAATCCAAGATTAAAAAAATTAAACTAAATTGAGAAGGTTTAATCATAAAGGAATCAAAGGGTATATAAAGGGAAAAAAATTCATTTTGATGTGGACTAAACACAATTAATCATAGAAATAATATAGAGAATTGAAAATAAGCCCTAATAAATTTGTTTTACATATTTTGCAACTATAAGCTGAAGAGAGATTCGTATCGTCCTAACATCAAGAATGAGTTGCGTGATAGAAAATAAGAAGACGGAACCCATGTTTTGTGAAATAACCGAGGTACGGCTAGCCGTGACCGATAAAAATCTGTTTACGCTCCCATAAAAAGTTATCACTTCACAAAGTATGTTCACATAAACGTTTAATGCTTATGCCACCTTTTTTCACATAGGAAAACACTTCTTGTCATGAAGTAGCATTTTAGAATCTGTCAGCTGCAAAAAATGTGAACAATCCTACTCTAATACAGCATCATCTGACCCATTAATTATAGGGTAGGGTGTCCGGGTGTTTATAGGGCCTAGAAGAAAGGATTAAAGTCGATGATAATTTAATTTTGTCGTAGTCTGCTTGACTAAATTCGGTAGAAAACTTGCGTCTTCCAGCTCTGTCGGGAATCAAACATCGCGAAAATATTTGCCCATTAAAGTAAATCGAATCCACGAAGTAACGAGAAATCGCGCTGCATGCACCCGCATGATAATTGTATAGATCCAGCATAGGAAAGTCGTTTCAGTTGCATTATGAAAATGGCCCTTTCCCCGGGATTTCCAATCGGAAACCCTTCCAGTCCTGCGGTTTGTTTTAATGGATCTTTCCATGGGAAAACAGTGTTTTTTTGCTGATGGCCAAGACTTTGTTGTTGCCGATTTATCGAACCGAATAACCGTAATGAATTTCCCAGGCATAAATAACGAAATTCCCCGTTTTCCATTTGCATTCATATAAAAATTTTCGAACCGACAAATCACCGATAAAACAATTCGAATGAAGGTATTTGTGAAACGTTAATAAAAAGTCACGTTCGCCGGGTTGAAATGCATGTACATCATAGGATTTTCGGCCCGTTTGGTTATTACGCATTATGAAAGCGACGTTATTAATTAAATTTGGTGCGAATCAATGTACTGAAGTCTCCCCCGCCGTGCCCTCGGTAACATTTAAATTATATAAACAAACAGAATAAATTAATAATGGGCCCGCACTGGAATCGGTTTGGCCACTGCATTGTGAGCGGCAAAATTACCCGGAAAAATCGCGCTTTGGTCGCTCCATCGGAGGTTAATCAGTTGAGAGAAAGACAGCTTTCTGGATATCCAACCCTGGGCCCCGCCCTAGTTAATTAACACACTAACAATAATATTTCTAAGGTGATTTAATTGCAATATAGTCGACTAGTTTGGTTGTAAATAATTGTCACCAATCGATACGTAATTCCCAAGGTTTTCCTCTTTTTCCTATTTCTTGGAGGTCATTTTGTGATATTGATGTAGACCAGCGGGCCAGCGGACCCGATTGTTAGCTTGGTTTCTTAGTTTTTAATAAAATTTGTTTAGCAAATGTGTTTAGAAACTTTCTTTCATCTACCCCATATTCTTTTAAAAAACTGAATCTCTTTAAAAAAAACGACTGCCTTTTGGATTATTAAGGTATGATTTCCAATGCGAGGGAAATATCAGTGCGTGTTTTGAGTCGAGTGAAACTTGGTGATTTGATAGCGTGAAGGATTCGGATACGGAAACTTCCCTATTTGGGTTTCGAAGCAGGAATGTTTGTTTGCCAAAACTGCACTTTTGCCAAATTTTTGTTTCTGCCAATGCCTGCAATCCAATGCCTATCAAAAATCAGGGCGTCTATTGATTTGAGCAAAACTTGGTGATTGAAGAGCTTGACAGGTTCTGAACAAAGCGACAAATTTGGGGCACCTCCTTCTTTCAGTTACATTTTTTTCAGTTCAACATTTTTGAGCGCGAAACTACACTTTTGAAACTTTAAATTTTTTTTTTTCAACTTCCAATGCTTCTGAAAAATTAGTGCGATTATTGGTTTGAGGGAAATTTGGCAATTGAATAGCTTGAACGCTTTCGAGAAAATTGAGAAATTTATGAAAACCTATGTCGTTGTGTTTCGAAGGAGGAATTTTTGTTTTCCAGAAGTGCACTTTTGACAAATTTCTATTTCTGACATTCAACTCCCAGTGCTTCTAAAAAATCAGTGCGTTTATTGATTTGAGCAAGCAAAATTCAATGATTTGGTAGCTTGAAGGTGTCCGAAAAAAACCACAAATATGTGGAAACCTTCTTTCGGTTTCCAGAGAAGAGCTTTTGTGCGCCAAACTACACTTTTAATCTTTATTTAAATTCGAATGCTTCTGTAAAATCAGTGAGTCTATTTGTTTGAGCGAGACTTGGGAGTTCAATAGCTTGAAGGTTTCCGAGGATATTGAGATATTTATGAAAACCTCTTTCTTTGTGTTCCGAAGGAGAAATTTTTGCTTACCGAAAGTATACTTTTGACAAATTTCTATTTCTGACATTCAACTCCCAGTGGCTCTCAAAACACAGTGCGCTTATTGATTTGAGCAAAATTGAACGGCTTAGTATATTGCAGGTTTTTGAAAAAATCTCAAATTTATGAAAACATCTTTGATTCGGTTTCCAGAGAAGAATTTTTGTGCGCCAAACTACACTTTTCATTTTTTTTTTGTTTCAATGCTTCTGAAAAATCAGTGAGTCTATTTCTTTGAGCGAGACTTGGGAATTCAATAGCTTGAAGGTTTGCGAGGAAATTGAGATATTTATGAAAACCTCTCTCTTTGTGTTTCGAAGGAGAAATTTTTGCTTACCGAAAGTATACTTTTGACAAATTTCTATTTCTGACATTCAACTCCCAGTGCTTCTAAAAAATCAATGCGTTTATTGATTTGAGCAAAATTCAATTATTTGGTTGCCTGAAGGTGCCCGAAAAAACCACAGTTTTGTGGAAACCTTCTTTCGGTTTCCAGAGAAGAACTTTTGTGCTCCAAACTACAGTTTTAATTATTTTTTAATTCCAATGCTTCTCAAAAAATCAGTGCGTCTTTTGGTTTGAGCGAGACCTGTGAATTCAATAGCTTGAAGGGTCCTGAGGAAATTGAGAAATTTATGAGGACCTTCGTCTTGGTGCTTCGAAAGAAGAATTTTTATTTTCCGAAAGCGCACTTTTCACAAATTTTTATTTGTGACATTCAAATCCCAATGCCTCTAAAAACTCAGTACTTTTATTGATTTGAGCAAAATTGAATGGTTTAGTAGCTTGAAGGTTTTTGAAAAAAATCGCAAATTTGTGAAAACCTTCTTTCGGTTTCCAGAGAAGAATTTTTGTGCGCCAAACTACACTTTTAATAATACTACTAAACTAAACTACACCTTTAAAACTTTTAATTTTTTCGTCAACTTTCAATGCTGAAAAAATCAGTGTGTTTATTGGTTTCAGCGAAACATGGGAATTCATTAGATTGAAGGTTTCCGAGGAAATTGAGATATTTATGAAATCTCTGTCTTTATGTTTCGAAGGAGGAATTTCTATTTTCCAAAAGTGCACGTTTGACAAATTTCTATTTTTGACATTCAACTCTCAGTGCCTCTAAAAAATTGGTGCGTTTATTGATTTGAGCAAAATTTAATAATTTAGAAACTTGAAGGTTTCCGAAAAAAATCACAAATTTGTGAAAACCTTCTTCTTTCGGTTGCCCAAGATTTTTTGTGCGCCAAACTCCACTGTTGGAAACTTTTTATTTTTTTCTTTCATTTCAAATAAAAGTGAAAAATCACCGCATTTTTTGATTTAAATAAAACTTGGTAATTTAATAGCCTGAAGATTAAGTTAAGTTAGTGTGTGAAAAAACCCTTAAGTTCCTTAAGGACTTTCGCACTTTTTCCAAACATTCTACTTAGATACACAATGAATTCGGTCCTAAATCCCCAAAAGCAACCGTTTTTCTCACACTGGTAGGGCATATTTTAACATTTGAAAAACTCTTTTGCAGACAAAAAAACCGTAAATAAATTGAATTTTTTTATTGAAATAAAAATTGCATTTCCTTAAGAATCGAACAATAAGTTTACACGCGTTCAGCTGCTGCCCTGTGGAAAGCCAGATGCGCTTCCCTGGCTGCTTTCACCTCTGGAGTGTCCTGGATGGACACCAAAGGCTGGGTTTGCAGGTTGGGATGGTCGACAAAAAATCCGGGACTTTGCAGGCTCGGCACCACCAAGTTCAGAGTTTCTGGAACCTGCACTGCTTGCAGCGGTACAGGAGCCATTGGGGCTACTGGCACAGGACCTTCCAGGATCCTGAAGCCATTCTGGTCGGCGACGTATTTGAAGGTTTGTGGGCCTTGAGGGCTTGGAATGGTGTATTGGCCGATGATGGTGCCATCAGCTAGACGTTCTTCGTTTCTGGACGAATCGCGAAGGAGGACGGAGTATTTGTAGGTGCCTACAGAGCTTTGGGTTACCGCTACATGGCCATCAACGCCCTCTGGCAGGGA